GGAGGAGAAAAAGACCTCAAAACTTACACGCCTTAATGGCTTGCAGACCACCTCATTCACGTGGGGCAGAACCCATCTGCACAAGAACGGTATGGACCGTAGAATACATTCAGATCTGCCTCGGGTCCTTCAGCATACTTGCCGAAACTCTTCTAAACTTATTTTAGTAAATCCAATTCCGGTCAACCCGTTAGGCGATGGGGACGACCTCCTAGGACGTCATCTTCAGAGACTGATACATCTGATTCTCTCTACTCAACAGCGGGCCAGTCTTCCATTTTGAAGACTCAAGATTCAAGTCAACTCTTATATGCCATATGTTACTTAAGCATTAAATATCCAAACGATCACTGCTGGCCTCTCCGCTTTTGCAATTTCTCATACCATCTGATGTCTTTATGTTATAAATAACTGGAAAAATTCTTGCCAAATCCTCCCACATTTCAGCAAGGTGGGAAAAAGGAAGTCCTGCCAGGTTGATCCGGGTGAACGTGCATAGCCGTGTTTCTGCCAGTTGTGCCGTTGCCGTTGGCTGCGAGTTGCTTTACGCCGACAATTGGCCATTATTTCAGTACTGCAGACCTTTCACAAATAGCAGCAGTTGTAATGGGGATGGTGTTTCATTTTCTGGCTGGAGTTTTCCATGTTACTTCATTTCCTCCCAGAGCGGAGGATGTTGGTGGCAATGATGTCATCGCGAGCCGACCCCACATAAACCACCCCGCAGGTTCGCAGAGATATACCCCCCCCCCCACACCTCCCCGTCTACACTTGCCCAGCTCCATGTGATGATATCTGCTCTCCTGTCTCAAGAAGAACACCTCATCGGTTCTGAGACCTCAGCGACATCCTCCTACTGACCACACTCACCCCCAAAGCGAGCACTTTGTTTGTTTGCTTAGTAGCCAAGGAGAAGCAATTGTCCTCCCCCCGCATCATTTATTTTTTAAGTTCCGTCTTCCACCTTCCCATGACATCATCATCCCTAGAAATCCCACAGGACCACTGAAGAAACCCCCTTCACACACACAAGCCCTAGTACTGGGTTAAGAGCTGAGCAGCAGGCAACCAAAGTCAAACAAAATGTTAGGAGCTCAAGCAAATGATTAATGACACCAGCACTATCTCACTGTATAGGAATGGAAGCAATGCAGCAACACTGAAAACAATGGGAAGTCCTCTGTGGGATGGTATTCCTCTCCTTTGTAGTACTTATTTATGGGGTTCTCATTAAACAACAAAATGACGAATCCCAATTTTATGATTTCAATGACCTTGATGAGTGTTTATGAGCCTTATTTTATGTTCGAGAGAACATATGTTGAATTATTCTCAAGTACTATTACAGACTGCTAGATTATTATTCCACACACCAGCTTTTCTCTCCCTTTGTACCTAAATTGTTATGTTTCCAAGTTTCCTGCCGATTGTGTGGTCCACCTGCTTCTTATATGGCCAGACACACAGTCGAGAAAGGACACGTTGAACGCTGAATGATCAACAGCTGTTTCACAGGTACTCCATGCTTCGACGGACGGGGCTTCAAAGGCAGCGGTGGCCTTGGCTGAGTGGTCCAGGACCCAAGCTCCGCAGAAGGCTATGGGTCTTGTGTACAGACCCATAATTCATACCGTGGAAGATTTCAACACTCTCTTATACAGCAAGGCCAGGATGTTTGTCGTATTGGCCAAGCTCTTTGACAGTGTCTTCCGGAAGGAACTGGGCCCTAGACCTCTAGAGACAGGACCCTTCTGTTGTCTCACGTTACAGAGTCAAAGAGATCAAAACAAATGGCCTTTTACTTGTTTTTTTTGTCACCACCTGCTGTTTTGTCTAAAAATAAAGACCGTTTTCCGGTCCACCAACGACAGATATTCCTTGGTCCAAACCCAACATTCCCTTAGCTACTTGACAGATGTTGGTCATCCTTGAGACCTTGTGTATATAGTCCAAGGTCATTTCCTTTCACCTGGGGAGTCAGGTGCAGCGGTACTGATTAAACTGTCTAGCTGGGCAGAAGCCGGCATGCCTTGTTTACAACCAAGACTGACAGGTTTAATTAGGGCGACGCCCCTGGCTGAGGAGTGTTATTTGCATAGCTCGAGGGTGCCAGGGCAGATCGGGTGATGGGGATCTATTTCCGTTCCCGGTGGTGGCCCCCTGAGGCACGGCCAGCTCCGCTTTCCCACAGGCGACAGCCCGTCTCCGGCTGGATGGCCGTAGTAGCAGAGGAGTAAACACATTTAGGGTCGTCCACCAGCACCTTTGTCTTGGGCGGAGCGAAACGATTCTGCTAACGCTTGCAACTCTGACCTTCTTCATGGTGCAACGCCAACATCACCACCCCCCCCCCCCACACACACACACACACACACACCGGCTGTGAATTTTGCAGCCTGGCGAGAAAGACTCACAGATACTGCCACTTCCTAGAAGTCACTGCCACACGCACACAATGTGTTCATTCTGATCGACCACACACAACCGAGACCTCACAGACACACTGGGGATTCCCTGGACCACACGTGGTTGAAAGGGGTGTTGCCAGATGCCGGCTAGGTGTAAGTGGTGCGTGATGTTCTCCCAACAGACAGAGGAAAACAGCAAAGCCGACAGGCAGGTGGGATCAGGTGCAATGTGTCTGGGGGCAAGAGGTCGGAGTTTGACACTAAACCGTTGATCTAAAGTGGTGCAACCTGCACAACAATGAGTCAGAACCTGGAGGGGAAAAACTGTTCTTTCAAACTTTCTAATTTTAATCATTTAGAACTTTTCCATTGCTGAAAAGATGGTAGAAATAAGTCAATAAGTTCACTCTGGTCCAAGACTGTAAGGGTACTGACATGGGCGCCGTATGGAATGTGCACGACCAGGCAGACCTGGGGGGGGGGGGGCGGGGGACCCACGTCCTACATGCGAAGGTCCCAGAGGCCGCTTACCTCCACAGCCATATCAAAGTGTCAGACTACTCTCTGGGACCCAGCAGATGGGGGCCATTCCTGCCAAAGGTTTGGCTTTCAGAATCTCAGTTGGTTTTTGCAGCTAGAAGTTGTTCAGATTAAATAGGATTTGGCACTCGTTTTGAGCTCATTTCAAAACAGGGAAATTTGCTCATGTGTACAAATCAAACACATTCACTGCAAAAATTCATCAACTTTAAAGACTGCTACCCCAACCATATTTTTTTCTAAACCTGGGCCCCCCACATAAATGTGAAAGATCTCTTTTCTGTTCTAACTGCAGAAGCAACCTGTCATATCAGTTAAGTTTTCACCTGGTCCTGAGTCCTGTGATCGATGTTCAGAAAATGGGTGGATGTCGACAGCCAGCACTGCCTGAAATATAATCCTGGTGTGGCTGCCAGGAGGCATTTTGTAATCCGCTAACTTGCTCTGTGTCAAATATTAAGGCCTGCCGGCACAGAAACAGACGCGCTCTGCAACAGCCAATCACATTCTGTGTGCAGCACCAGGCACTTTCACACCGCAGAAACTTTTTTCAGGAACCAAAAAGGTGTCGAAAGACAAACTACTGGAAAGTAGGAGTGTAACGGTACACGTATTCGTACTGAAAACGTTCGGAACCTGTGTGTTTGTGTGTTTCCCTCGAGCAACATCCGGAAAGGGGCGGATGAAGCCGCGCCACGATGCGTGCGTGCGAACGTCATAATGTGAAGCTGGAAGCTCTTAACGTGAGTACAAGTGCAGCACAGGTATTTGCACAGGTATTTTTTAAATGCTGCACCATAACGGATATTTATTTTGTTATGTTTTGCATTTTTTGAGACAATATTTGTGTTCATTTTCTAAACGTGCACTTTAATGGATGTTTACTTTGTTTTTATTTACTTGAGAGAATAGAGTTAAAGTTAAGTTTAGTTTATTAGTAGGTTGCAGCAGTATTGACAGAGACTTGTTTAAGAAAGACAGTCTTACTTTGTTTAATAAACCACTGTTTAATAAAGATAAAAAGAAGGGACTTACATCTTGTTTCTTTTACCCCCGCTGTACCGAAAAGGTACGGAACCGTGACTGAAGTACGTACCAAACCGCGATTTTTCTGTACCATTATACCCCATAGGGTGGAGCTTATAGCGGGAACTTGCTGACTGGTTGGCCACAGGCACCGCTTTAATCTTGGAGGTTACACAGAATACATTTTTTTGCTTGCATATCCATATTGCTGCATCGGAAAATTTGATCGACGACCAACATACTTATATTGCTGGTTCTGGAGGTGAAGCTTGCCAGCGCTTATTAGTGAGATAATTTTATGGCATTTATTTTGTGGAAAATTAAAAGATCGGTCAACCGCCCAGATTTAATAACAATTCTAAATATATCACGGTTTGCAGAATTAAATAAAAGTCTGTGTCCCATTTTGATTGTGATTGATCTCCCCAGTAACTAACAAAATGATTTGTGCATCCTCCATAGTTTTGGGGTGACATTGTAGTTTTATATGAAATTAAATGTAAGCTTGACCTACAAACTTTTTTGCGTCTCCCATACTAATTTAGCATCAGGGTCCCAGTTCCTGTTGTGTGACATGAAAGAGGCCAGCTATAGAAGTCCCTTTGCGAGGCGGCCGAGGTACTTGTAAGTAGGGACCAGGATCCGGAACTTCGGTGTGAAAGCACCTATATTTGTGATACAGAAAAACCATCCCCAAAATGAACGGGAGTGAAAGAATGATCTGTAATGGACTTCCGAGGTGCCACACCCATACCACAAAATTAGTCACTTTCTAAGCTCCTGTAGAAACAAGTCCATCTGATTCTTCGTTTATTGACAACACATTGTCAGCTAACCGTCGCCTTCAATCGGACATCAGGCATAATTGTTTCTCCTTCCAAGAAACACAGAAGTGGCAAACAAGCCCCATATTTGTTTGGGAAGATGTGGAACGATCAGTTTAATAAAGCCATTTAAAAAAGATGAAGCGATAATGAAAAACTGATGCATTTAACATGTGAAAATCAAGGGGCCCCCCTTACTCACCCTGATGACCTCAGGTGTCTGCTGAATCAGCAGGGCAGAGCCCGTGTCTCTTGAGGAGATGGTAGCATGACCAGCAGGTGGCGCTGTGACTGCCTTGCCAGCGGAGGCCAGTGTGTCCTGAAGGAGCCGCATCACCTCGCACTCCTTCGACTGCGTCCCCGTGTCTGTCCCGCTCTCCACCAGCTCCTGGGCGAAGCTTTCAATGCTCTCCAGGATCCTGAGCAGGAGTACTCCATCATCCTCATCGTCAGGCTCAGCACAATCATTCTTAGACAGGGACGGAGATGAGGACGAGAATGCGCTGTCTATGGACATGGGCATTTTACTTTCTGAGCCAAAGGTCGAAGACTGGGGGAAGCTTGCTGGCTGGCCACCGTTCCTGTGGTCTGATGGTGTTAGCTTGCCGCAAGGCTGTGAATCGATAGCTTGGGAGAGGCACTCCAGATCCATCAACAGCTTATCGATATCATCGTCCCTTCCACTGGTCTGTGCTCTGAAAGATCTATGCTCAGGACTCATGCTTTTGAGGGGCACACAACTCTTGTTGGCGTCATGCAAAGGAAGGGGCTCCATGTTGGGTTTAAAAATAGTCCTATTCCTGCCAATCTCTGAGCCCATTCCTGGTTCCGGAAGCATCCCTTGCTTCCTGGCAGTGCCCTGGCCAAAATTCTTTCCCTCCCTATCCAACACCTTTCCAACATCAGCATCTTCTTCTATGTACAAAGTCTCCATGGAGCCCTTGCTGATGCTGTCAGAACTGCTCGATAGCAGGGATTTTGTGCAGGGGAAGCCATCGTTGCGGGTTGTGGTGACAGTGCGGGCAGGGGTTAAGGTGGAAGTACCAGCCCCTGTGCCTTGTACGCTCTGGGCAGGTTTTGAATTACCCACTGAGCCCTTCATAGGCTCCTGAGACTCTTGGAACTGAGAGAGGGAGGGAGATAGAGGCTGGGTAGTTGGAGGGGACTGGACAACATCCTCGTACCGGGGCGGCTGTTCATTTCCAAAGAGTGGGGAGAAGGGGCCCTGGTGTGGGTTATGTAGGCCACTGACAAGTTCGGCAAGGTCACCGTGCTCCAGGCGCCCTGCCTGTGCCTGTTCCAGCTCCAACGGGAGCCTCCGCAAGTAGCTGGAGAGTCGAGTCATCAAGCTACGGTAGACAACGTCGGGGGTGCCGGAGTCATCGGCGTCACCACCCTTCGCCTTCTTCTGAATGCACTGCTTAATGATGTCTGTGCACTTCTTGAGGTCCTCTGAGCACTTGAGCAGGATGTCAAGGCAGGCCTTGATGTCCTCGCCAGACGCATTGCTGTCCGCCTTGGTCTTCTCCAATATCTTGGCAATAAGGGATTCCTCTGTCAGGCTGTTGAGGTACATCGTTGCAACGTTGTTCAGGTTGTGCTCCAGTGAGGTGCTACGGCTCAACTTGTGCTCCTCCAGGACGGACTTCTGCATCAGGCCGAATGGTGGGCAGTTCTCGTCATTGCCAAAATGCCCATATATAATATCCAAGTCCGTTGACCTTCTGCTAAACGAGTCTGGCCTGACCTTCCTGCCTTTCCTGAAGGTGACGTGGCTCGTGGAATACTTGATTTTCTCAAAAGAGAACTCTTTGATCTTGCCACTAGCCAAGTTGATGGCCTCCCCGGTGATGTCCTTCAAGCTGGCACTGCTTTGGATGGAAGATGCTTTTTTGAACCTGCTGGTGGCTGGGTAAGCCTGGTGATAATCCTCGCCGGAAACTCGGGTGCAGGGAGCTGGTGCCACCGGGGCTTCCAGGAGCTCGGCACAGGTGCTTTGGTGGGTGACGGTGCAGTCCAGCCCATGCCTGAGCAGCTGACAGGGCCCGGTGCAGTAGTGCACTGCCTGCTGGCCACGCCGGTCCACCACCACGCTGTTGTAGCAGTTGATGCTACTGACCACGACGCGATATGCTGCAGCCATGGCTTAACGCTTTTATTCTCGCTTCTGAACCCACACGCGGGAGAAATTATTAATCCTTCTCAAAAAACCATGTTTCTGATTTAAAACAAAAACAACAACAACTGTACAGTTTCAGTCAGTAGTCAGATAAAACATTTTTATGTAAAAGGAAACATTAAACTAGTCACACAAATAGGAGTTTGACGTCCTTGCGGGCCCCGCAGTAATGGACGGTTGCGTCAGTCGCAGCTGCTTCCACGCTAGGCAGCATCCACGCTAATCATTAACCAGCACCCCACAGTCAAAGAGTAATTGCCCTGTTCCGCCATGGTGGAGGGGCTACCCGCTCGCTGAAAACAGGCCTAGCGGCCTAATCACAGGCCTATCAGTCGGGCTCCGCTGCATCCTCACCCCCCGCCACCATCCACAGCTGAGGCCTGCAGAAAGGGAGGTGTAGGTCCGTCCCTCCCTGGCCGGCTGGCTGACAGCTGCCTTGATGCGTTTCACAGATGTTCTGGCCTCTCCTCCTCGCTCACTCCGTCTTCCCTCTCTCTCTCCGTCTCAGGCCTGGCGGGGTGAGTCTTTCCGAGGACCCCGTTCCAAGGCGCCACCTGCGAGGCAGCAGAGAAAACAAAAAAATTTAACGATGCTTTATTTGTACAAGTACAGTTACATTGCAACTGCAGGGGCAACCATTTCCCCAGGACCCCTGAGGTATTCTGGGGGCACAAAAGCCTAATCCACTGAACTACCTCTACCCCCTCCCCCCCAAACAAGATGGAGTGCAGATCATTTTAAGTGGACAGCTACAACAAATGGAAATGACATTGCACTGTACTTATACCTATTCGATACATCTCAAGCCCTGAAGTTAAAAATCATTCAAGGTTAAATCATTCAGACCCACACTTAACTTTTTGTCCGTCCGTGCCCACAAATGATCCCTAACCACACAAAAGAAGTACTTCTTAAGGTGAGACAGCCTGCAGTCCCTTTATAACTTTACAATTAGTCAGTGATTGGTTTGAAACGGCATATCTCATTCGGCAGGGTTTTCTGAATGTTTAACTCTGCCCCTTCCATAGAGGACAGCACAAGGACAATGCACAAGTTACGAATGACGGCCGCAGCTGAGAGGGGGGGCGATATTAACATTTACCGTCAGAGATAAAGATGCATTCTCGAAAGATGCATGTAATATACAAAAATTGTTAAAATTAAGCTTATATTAATTATTAAAAAAAAGCAAAAATAATTTTCAATAATTTTATTTTAGCTGTCATTAATAATAATAATAATCTAAAAAATGCATTAGGGCTACTAGTAGAAGGACATGATGTTTAAGAGGTATAAATAAAAACTAAAAATAATCATTTATTTATTAATTAATCATTTCAGTAATCCTCCCTGTCCCAGATATCTGCTGGCAGGTCAAACTGAGGGGACAATCCGACAGCCATAGGGATTTGACGCTGCAGGGCTGTCGTGTGAAACTCCACCTCTGTAAACACGACAGGCAGAAAAATGCCTCTTTATCACTAAAGGACTGGCTGCCAGCGTCTTTCATCGCCGCTTAGATGATGGAGAGCCGAGGAGGACACTTCCCAGGATCCGACAGCCGGACCGACCCCCCAGTTTAGGAGCAGAGCAGGCCCCATGCCTCCATGTGAGGGGGCAGCTTCTGTGGCGCTTCGCCGTCTCTGTGCCCCGTCCAGGTTTCGGAACCAAAGATTTATCATCACATTTCAACAGACAGAACAGCTACTGAGTATCACAGGGCCAAACCCTCTCTGTCCCTCTCTCCCTCTTTCCCTCCTGGTCAAACCCTCTCTGTCCCTCTCTCCCTCTTTCTCTCTTGGCCAAACCCCCTCTGTCACTCTCTCCCTCTTTCTCTCTTGGCCAAACCCTCTCTGTCACTCTCTCCCTCTTTCTCTCTTGGCCAAACCCTCTCTGTCCCTCTCTCCCTCTTTCTTTCCTGGCCAAACCCTCTCTGTCACTCTCTCCCTCTTTCCCTCCTGGCCAAATCCTCTCTGTCACTCTCTCTCTCTTTCCCTCCTGGCCAAACCCTCTCTGTCACTCTCTCCCTCTTTCCCTCCTGGCCAAATCCTCTCTGTCACTATCTCTCTCTTTCTCTCCTGGCCAAACCCTCTGTCACTCTCCAACTCTTCCTCTTTTTCTCCTGGCCAAACCCTCTTTCTGTGACTCTCTGTCTCTCCGTCTCTCATTCCCTCCATCTCCTTGCCAAATTCTATGCCCCGCTCTCCCTCTCTTTTTCTCCTGCCCCAGCACTGTCCCTCTCTGTCTATCCTGCTCTTTTTCACCTGGATAGACCCACTGACCGCACTTGTGATTTCACACACCATTGCCCATTCCCTCTCTCGCGTAGCACTGTTCCCTGTGTACTGCTAGACTCACAGGTCACTGGTCTTTCACCACAGGCTGAGCTCATAGTGGTGGCCAGGAGCTGAAAGGAATTCTAACAGGCTCATTTACCAATATTTTTTCCCACTACCATGCCAGCTGAGGGGGAATGAGGCTAGATTATTTTTAACTGTCCATCCAGTTCTATGATGCTGTTAAGTAGCCCAACCTGTGGTTAATGGCATTGGCTTTTGGGTTTTGAGGTAACGGCAAAAGAAAACCTTAGATCTTAGAACCATAATGCAAGAAAATTTGCAGACAAGAATTAGAAATATGGGCATATAACTCAAAAATTTTGAGATATAAAGAATATCAATGGACATATACCTCAAACAGACAGGCCCATCCTGTGTTCCTCAAAGTTTAGGCAGTATTTTCTTTCTTCGAAGGATCTGAAGAGATCTTTTTGGTAAAGTGATCTTTGAATGCTTATGTACGGGATTTAGTCTTTTAGGGAGGCAATTAGGCTGCCGTCCTCAGTGTGAGAGTCGGCGGTTTGAATCCTGCTGATGGACGCGTGTGACAAAGCTCCCGCAATGTTTTAAAATCACAAGTGTCAGAGACGGAGGAAAAAAACGTCGTAAGAGTTTAAGGCTCCACAAGTCCGTGACAAGCCCAGAGCCACCGTCACTGAGCGAAACGGGCAGCGGCCGCTCGGAAGAGCCTCCAAAAACGATTCACGTCCGTTTTTTTCCATGAAGAAACGGGACAATTTGGAAGAAACTGCTGATCCAGCTGGACTGTGCAAAAGGGGACAGAAGTGCACCCTGGATGCTCTCTGGGCTTGTATGAGTGTCCCAGCTTCCAAAGCCATCCCTAACTGCAACTCTGACCCCCCAACTGAAAAACATCCACCACCACCCCCATTTCAGAATCTCAGCGACATTCTATAGGGCAGACAGTGTCGCCCATGATTTTAGCTTACTCCAGAGATTTTTTTTTCCTCAAACGGGAAATTACATTTCCTGAATGTCTAGTTCTTGCAGAAATCCATCAAAAGCCAAAGTTGGAAATAAGGGCAGGATTTCATTTCCATACAGTGGAGTATTTCCTATTAAAAAAAATGCAAAAAATTGAGATTTGTGGATGATTCCAGAAACTGGTAACACTTAAATTAAAATGGTTTGGTATTATTATTAACATAATAAAAATAATAATCAAGTATGGAAAATTAGATTAATGTGGTGGTGTTCACTCCTACATCTGGTATGTTCGCCCGATCTAATGCTAACAGACATTTATACACCCAGAAGCATGAACGTTGCACAAACACCACATCTTGTCGTGACAGAGCCTGATTGCCTTCTACAAATCTCCCCTGCTAACTCAACAACCGCCCCCACCAACGTCATGTCATTTCAATCTTGAAAAATGCAGGCTTTAATACCGTGGGGAAGAATAAGTTAAGGAGACGGTAAGAACCCTTAACGACCCTCTGATGTATTATTCCATATTAGTGTCTCCACAAAATGCGGAATAAATATTTATGTAAATCCACGGGCCGGCATGTCAGCGTTTCCATCCGCGGCGCCGAATTCTGCCCCAGAGGATGAGTAAGTTGGTGGAGAGCTTACCAAGCTCCCCAGAGCCTTACTGGGGCTTAGGGCCCTGAGCACAGGCGAGGGGGTAGGAGGGCTTTCACACCAGCTGATCTGAAAAGCACTTGCTGGCAGAGGGAGGGGCAACGATGACACACCTGCCAATCACATCACTCATCCTTCTTCCGCCAGATAAGGCGATTCCCAGCTGTTGGTGGGGGATGGGCGTGAGGGAAGCCAGTTCTGGCCAGGAGCCTCCAAACAAAATAAACAGAGGAAGTCTTGGAGGGGGCCGGCCAGGCCACACCGCCGCTCCTGATAGCGATTTTCCACGTGCTGCTTCCGAATCTCCGGGCCCCCACACACGGGTGCTCAGGATACGTCCCGGCGAAGGCAAGTCGCTTATAATTATCCACATTCTCACTGTGCATCGATCCATTCTCTGTACCTGCTTGTTCTATTCAAGGTTGGGGCCCAGAGCACATGGGCACTCAGGGGCCATCACACATTCCCTCCACAAGCACACCTACGGGCTATTTGGTGACGCCAATTCACCACAACATGTTTTTGGACTTGAGCCGACAGCGCTGACCACCGCCCCTCCGTGCCTCCCAGTCCCTCAGTCCATACAGTTGATTATACATACAATGCATCCTCTATCTACCACTCAGACAGTGCAGGGTCACGGTGTATTTGCACACACACAGAAGCGCAATTGAAGCCGTATGAATGGATGGATAGATACACTGTCAGACTTATTGTCCGTCTCCAGGAAGTGGCTCCTTCCTTCCTTGCTATTTCGGTTCAGCTCCTTTGAAAGAGCAAGTGGATGGGAAGAGACAGTCGACGTCGAGACAGACAAACGTGCATTTCGGAGATCGGAAGCTGGCGGGAGTGGAGAAAAGCCACAGCAAACAGTATTAACAATAAAGGGGGCGTGGGGCGGGCCTGGGGGGGGGGCGTCCCTTTCGGGCTGGGCAGCACCCTGACTTAAGAGTGTTTGCGGTCTGCCAAGGCGACCGGCCCTTGGCTTTGTGGGCCCTCGGCTCGAATAACGGCTCTTAAACTCTTCCCACAAGGTTGCGGCTTGCTTGAATAGCAGCAATGAGTTTATAAAAGAGGTATTACAGGGTGGCTGGACACCCTGGGACTTGTTTTCAGTCTGCAGGATGCACCTTTAACGTTACTTTCCTCATTGCCGACGGAAAACAGGGGAAAAGAATTTTCAACTGGATGTACACACCCTGTAGTAAAATATAAAACTGTGCATCAGAGGAATACTTAACCTGGAGGTCATGCACAGATCCTTGAGTCTGCAGTGCCCAGACCAGGAAAGTCCCAGAGATGTCAGATGATGTAAAATCACACCATGCAAAATGCGATTTAATCGCCAGATATGATTTTGAGAAATGCAGAGCAAAGTGGATCTGGGTCATGCAAGTGAAGTCCAAACATAAGCCAACTGAGGAACTGAGGAGATTACCTCAGATGTGAAGTAGGCATGTCCGACAGGATAACACCTGGAGGAGCCCAGTGGAGCAGCTCACGTCAGGAAGCATGAGAGCCCCGCCCCCTAGAGAGCCCCGCCCCCTAGGGAGCCCCGCCTTCCCATCTACTTACTGTCCATGTCTGGCACGAGTCAGTGTCCCCTC